ATCACAATCTTGAAAAATCAGCCACTGAACTAGTTTATGAATCTGTGGGTACAGCATAGCGAAACATTTACTCAGGGAACAGAAAACCTTCTGGAACAAATAAGCCAAATGAATGCCTCAAAGTGGAAATGTTAACTAGTGATGTAAGTTCAGAGTGCAGCTGTGTCCAATTGAGTCGGGCTTCTGGCCCAACAAGCAAAGTCTATGAAAGATAGAGAAGAATTATATTGTTTTTTCCTAAACTCAAAGCAATGGACTTTTGCCATGTTAATTCTCAGTTTCTGAGATGAGATATGAGAAATTAAGAAAACAAAGTGAAATAGTTTTAAAACAAATAGTTCCTACGTCATTGTGTTGAGGAGATAGGGTTGTGGGATTTTTTCCTCCTTTGGCCGAAGATTGAGTAGACCTCTTTCAGGAGATATGCCTCAGATTTATTTCAATTACCTTATAGTCTGGGTATGATGGCACCAAAAATATACTCAGTTTATTAGTTAATGTCTAATGAATCACATGTTGTGTGTTTTAGGACATTTCATAAGCTCTTGTGTTTCATCTGGGCCGCAAGACGCACTGAACAAACCACAATGTCAGTACCTGCATTGGCTATTCTGCACTCCGTGTGGAGCAATGGGGAACCAAACATGATCTGACTGTTTGCCAAACTAATCATCATAATTATCCAGCAACATGATAAAGACCTCAAAGTATCAGTCATTACTTATGTAGGCTTTGGGTAGAAGATAAATCAGTTTCAACAGGTTCTGATTAAAACTCTTCTTAACAATAATAACTATCGCTTACCAAGACATTCATCAGGCACAAAAATGTTTCAGATATATTTTTTCTTCTCTATTCTATATGATAGGTGCTATTATGTTTCCCATTTTATATCTGAAGTCTAGGCAGTTTTTAAAACTTGCCCATGGTTACATATCTGGCACAGTAAATCCAAGACCTCCAGGAAAGACACTGGAATGCCTCTTTGGCAACAACATCAAGCTTGTCGTTCTGTAGCTAGGTCGTGTCCAACTCTTTGAGACCCCATGGACTGCAGCATGCCAGGCTTCCCTGTCGTTCATTATCTCCTGGAGTTTGGTCAACCTCATGTCCATTGTGTTGATGATGTCATCCAACTATCTCATCCTCTGTTGCCCCCTTCCCCTCTGCCCTCAGTCTTTCCCAGCATCAGGGTCTTAAAACCCTACTCTATACACTATAGTAGTCCTCAGTTGAACTGAGCAGAAAAAAAAAAAAAAAAATTACCAAGTCAAATAGCTAGCAAACAGTATAAATCTATATGTAATAAAATCCTGAATAGTACGAAAGAGATTCTAAAGTCCTAGAGAGGTTCAACAAAAGAGAAAATCTAGATTGGAAGGCTCAGGAAAGGCTGGAAGTAGAAGTGCAAGGTAAGCCGGCCTTTGGAGTGGCTATGACAGTACCGACACAAGAGTAAAGGTAAGAACAATAAGAAGAAATGATTATTAATAGAAGACGTGAGAGTTCATGAAGAGGCCAGATGGAGCAAACAGCACAGGAAAGAAATAGCTGGCCACTTTTAGACTTATTCCCAATTTTTAAGCTCAAAAAGAATTCAAGGGGCATACAGATCAACCCACGTAAAATACAATGGTAGGTCTGATAGGAAATTGGGCTGGAATCTGCATCTCCCAATCTGCAGTGCTTCCAGGAGCTACCATGCAGAAAGGCTGAGCTCCATAATTCTGGTGGTTTAGTCGCTAAGTCATGTCCAACTCTTTCTACCCCATGGACTGTAGCTCGCCAGGCTCCTCTGTCCATGGGATCTTCCAGGCAAGAATACTGGAGTGGATTGCCATTTCCTTCTCCAGGGGATCTTCCCGACCCAGGAATCGAACCTGAGTCTCCTGCATGGCAGGCAGATTCTTTACCAGCTGAGCTAGCAGGGGAGCCTTCATAATGCTAATTCAATCTAATATTGATGCAGCCTCTACCATGGACAGATGCAGTGCCAATTACTAGGAAGATAAGGGTGAAGAAAAGGTCCAGTCTCTAGGGAACTCATGTTAAAATCACATAAAATACACAAATATTTATGGAATGAGTAGGCCTGGGGAGGAGTATGACAATAGATACACCTAGGTGTAAAAGGACCAAAAGGAGTATCCCATGTCTCATGAGGCAGAATAGACTTCTGAGCAGGGATATTTGACATGGGCTTTGCAAGAGGAGTGAGCTATGATCTCTCAAGAAAAAGAGGAAGGGAATTGTAGGCAGAACAAACAGCAGCAGCAACAGGCTGTAAACATGGAAACATGTGTAAACATATGCTATTAGAAGGAAAGGCAACCCAGTAGAACCAGAGCTGAGAGGAGGAGGCACGTGAGTCAGAAGGCACATCAGTCAGAAGGCAGAGCGGCCAGAGCAGTCTTAGATGACCGGTGTGAGGAATAACATAAGGAGTCCGAACATAATCAAGGAAACAAAGAAAAACTTAAGCATTACAATAACATTTGATCTCTGGTTTAAGATGAAAATCTGGCAGCAAGGTGAAGAAAGGATGTATGGGGGGAATGAGTGGAAAAGCTCTTTGGCTATTCAAGAAGAAGCCTGAAGTCAGGTGATGGTAACAGACAAGACAAGGGACCCATGAGGCACAGAGGTAGATGGACAAGGCTTATCAACTAAAATACAATGACAGTTTCTGATTTTAGTGACTTGATGGATGGTGCTGTCACTAAATAGGATGGGGACATCGAGACCAAAGGCAGTCCAAAGTGCGTGCCACTTGAACTAGAAAAGTACTGGAAATTCTAAAAACACACTGGTGGATTCTCACAACTGGGTGATGCCATATCTATTATGACTGTATATTGTGCCCAAGCAGGTGGCTCAGGGGTGTGAGAATAAGTTCAGAGGACCTCCAGGTCACTGGTTCAAAGTCACAGTTCTCAAATGTCAGAATTTGTTCTCATATCTGACAGCTGTTCACTGACTTATATAAAAGAAATTAGAGATCTTAGTTTAGGTTCTAGCAAGACAGATGTTCCACTTTATAAGTGATACCCTTATTTTTTTTTTAAGAAATTAAACTAGTTCTAGTCCTTCAGTTGGCTGCTGAGGTGGTTTTGGACTAATCAGAGTCAATTTCTTCCAAGAGCATTCAACCATGGCATAGCTGATTTGTTTGAAATGTTTAAAAAATTTAAAAGTCAAGGATAGGAGTTGGCAAAAAGTGATAAAGCAATCACTCAAAATAGCTCTTTCTGCTTCCATCCATCATTCTTTCTTCTCATAAAGTCACTTCCAAAAAGGTATCTTCCACATTTCAGGTCTGTTTCTTTTATTCCTTTGTCAACATTTAGATCCAAATAAAGCCTTCAGCAGGCAGTAGTGGTTCTCTCTGTCTTTGGAAGATAGCCAAGTGGCATCATAGGTTTTGGAATACACACACACACACACACACACACACACACACACACACATATTTTTAAACATGCTTCCTTCCTTTCAAATCCAAAATTCCAAGTGAAAGGATATGTGTCCTGGGCATTAGGTAAGACACACAGGGTGTTCTTTATGTCTCCATACAGAACAGAGGCCTCCACAGTATAAGACTCTTTGAGGTGCAGAGGAACCTCAGACCTCCATGGTTCCATATTTGCTTACCCTGTCCCCATGTGTGGACTGGCCCATGGCAAACCACCATAAAAAAATAATGAAGTCTCATAAGAATTGTGCTTGAGTTTGTACATTCCTTGGTGTCGGCTAAAGCCACAGGAACTTTGGCTGGGTTTTAAAGTTACACCCATTCCCCATTGCAATGCAGGTCTGTGAAATAATGCCTTAGCTCTGCCAAAAACCACAAATGATTATCAACAATGTAAGTAATCAAGTAAAAGCACTTTCCACAGTCCACTGACCAGATTGTCAAGAAAGCAAGAAGTAGTAGCAAAAATTGATTGCCGTTTGCAAAAGTAATTTCTATCTGAATTATATTATTGTATAGCAACAGTGATGCATAATGTGTGCCTGGAATCTTTGCAGTAAACATTTTAGGTTTAATTTAGAAATCTGAGTCATTAGAAAACTTCTCTCGCGCAATGATGAAGGAGCCACTGTGGACTCAGAACTATTACAATCTGAAGAGGGAAAGTGAATAAACAGGCAAGCTACACACACTAAAAGTGAAAGAATTACTATTGGGCCAAAATAATGGGAAGAAATTCAAATGACAGATAGCTGCTTACTATTGAACCGTTAATACAAGCATGGTTATTTTACATTATTAAGCAGCTTGAATATTTTTAACGTTCTAACGTAATGTGCTATGGTCATTGATTTGTTGTTGCTTTTGTTGTTTTAAGCTCTTCATTTCTATGAGGGAAATGGGCTTCAAATTATAGGAAACAGGCCAAATAGATAAACCAAACTAGACCTCCCTGCCCCTCACAGATACCCAATGCTACTTCCTTAATAACTGACAGTACCAGTATTCAATAGCTCAGGCTGGTAAGATGTTCACCCCTTTGCAGCTGAAAAATCTTACTTAAATTGAATTTTTCCCTATTCAACTCTTAATGTTAGAACCTGGAAGATATCTATTGAAAAGCATCAGGCTTTACTGGAAATTAATGTAGTGGAAACACAATAAACTTGGGCCAGAGGCCTCCTCCCAAGATTAGTAGGTGTGAATCAGTACTTCAAAACCTGGTTGCATATTAGCACGACGTGGAGGGCTTTTTTAAAAATACTGATGTTTGAGCTGCCCCCTCCAGGGACCACTTACTAAAACATCTGGTGAGAATGGGGCCCAGCCACCATGTAGGATGTGAGCCCCTCCTCCACAAGTGATTTCAGTGTACAACCTGGTTGGAGAATCACTGTTTCATGTTCTGGCATGCCTGCAGAGAGAGAATTTCATGCATATTTGCCTAGAAATACTTGCAACCGATTACACTAAAAGCCCTTGGCACTCAGCGTTAGAGACACCTGGGGAATTTTAAGAATGCTGATACCTGGTTCTCACCCTCCGGGATGCTGATGTTCTGGGCATGGACAATCAGTTCCCGATGACTCTGAAGTATAGCCACTTTTGAGAGCCACTGCTCTCCAGCTGTGGCATTGAGAAGGGCTGAGCCGGAGGTGGTCCGCTAGGAGTATTAACAAGACAGGACTCAGGGTAGCCTACAGACGTCACGCTGAAAGAACAGGAGTCCTTCCTCCCGTTGCCAGAACTGTACGTGCTGATGTCTAGAATGCACAGAAATAAGTGCATAAACAAGTGTCTATTTTGAGTAATAAGATAGAGTTGTCTCCATAGAAACAACTAATAATCATAATGGTTAATTAGATAAGTGATTTCCAAAATCTATTTGTATGATAACTAATGTAATAAACTTCAGACTTCTTATTTAGTGACATATTTTTCCTTAGTTCTCTTAATGGGCTGTCAGGGCTTGGCACTCAGGTCAACAAAAGCCAGGTTAAACCTTAACACCTCCAGAAGAATTACTGAGTGTAGAGAAAAGTAGCAAACAACAAGGCTGAGTGTGGAAGTCAGAACAAACTCTGCATCCTGGCTCAGCCGCTGATTAAACAGCCTCAGAACCGGGGTTGAACCTTCCGCCCATCTTCTCGTCAGTAAAACGGCAGTGATGCTGCCCACCCGAAAGCATGGTAATAAGGAGTTCAGAGACCTAATTTTCCTGTCACAGCACTTCACATATAGCTATTCCTAGAAGAAGCATAGTAACTATTATTAAAAAGCATTGCCTAGATCAGGAGGCTGTTCAGGGTTAACATGCCACCAAAGTTATATTTCTCCAGACAGGATGACCACAAATAAAGGTCAAATGACTCCTTACTGCCATCTCATCAGAATACAGAGTCTTGGAATAACTGAGTCTAACCGCCTATTTTTTCAGCACATTTTGGGTTTTTTGGACCAATGACCAAAATATTTGGTGGTTATCCCTGGTGCTGTTTCCCTTCCTGGCCACACTGGTTTCCTTCCATTTTCCTCAGGGTGAAGACGACTGGCCTATCCTAGATGTTCCTTCATTCCTCTCCTGCTCCTGCCTCAGTGCAGTGGCCAACGCCATATCTCACAGACAAGTTTCTGAAGCTTAATAAAAACAGAAGATGCCACCATCAATCTTATTTACTCAGCTAACCAACAAGTCCAAGTAATGTGCTCAGGCTGGAAAAAGTACCAAATCCATGGCTCTGACCCCCTGATTTTAGACATAGATGAGCATAGTGACTACCTGAGCAGAGAGATTCATTTTCACATCCTCAGGGTACCCTTCAGCACCCTGGTGAGGGAGGTACTTTTCCAGAGGAGGAAATAGAAGCCTGGAGAAGATGAACAGAGCCGGGATAAAAACTAAGGCCTACCAATTCCTGGTTCAAGGCTCTGTACACGCAGCAAGTTTGCAGCTTTCCAGATTTTTCTCAGACTGTCTGCATACAGCACCACCATAGTGAAAGTGTCATCCGTGTATAGCATAGAGGTGAGGTTGATATTCATTTTTCCCTGAGAGACTTTCTCACAGATAAATGTTTCATGGCTGAGTGCATGACTGACAGGATTCAGCAATCTTGCCAGGTCCCACAAAATAAAATAAAGTGGTCCTAGGGGCTTCCTAGTCTTCTCCCCAAAATGACACTGCAAATTATAGTATTAAATGGAATTCATGGAGTTGCTTACAAATGAGCTGCTGTTGTCTCTTAAAGCCTGACATGCTTGGTTCATAGGTTGGACAGCCTCCTTGCAAGGCTACAAGTTGTCTGAGTGCAGCACATTCTGGACATCCTAGCTCTAAAGGAAAACCAGAGGAGATGGCAGCTTCCTTTGAGCAACCATTTGCCTTGGTATAAGTACATCAAGAAGCAATTAGCGCTGGGCAGATTCTACCAAAGGCAGGAAGATAAAACCACTAATAAGAACAGCAACTGGTTAGTAGCCTATTAGCACTTTTGGTCCAGTCTAAGGAAAGCAGCTTCAATGTATTTTCCCAAAATGGTACACATCTTCTGCTGTTGCAAGTATTTTAAAAGGTTCAGGGATTAAACCTCTGTTGAAATTATGTGGGTTTTTTTTTTAAGTCTAAGCATTTGAAACATATGCACAACACACACACATAGTACATTAAACTCATGATTCCATACCCATTATTGCTTAGGATAAAGCTAAATTTAATAGAAAAAAATTTTACTTAAAGAAAAATTAATGATTGATGGTTTTGGTAAAAATAGTGACACATTTAAAACGACTTAAATTTGGGAGATGTGAGTGTACTGGTTATGAGCGTGATAGGCTTTGGAACTGGAAGGACTTGACCTTGAATCCTAGATCTGCTGTCTTGTAACTGAGTGAGACTTAGACCCGTTTCCTCACCTGTGGGATAGGGATAATGATATCACCCCCACAGGGTGGTGGCAAAGATGCAGTTAAATTAAATACCATAGGGAAAGGGCCTGGCATATGTGCTGACCATCCTGATTATAACTGCCTGGATGGATTCAATAAGTTGAACAAAACCAGTCCTATCAAGCAAACTTGGCTGATGCCATTTAGAGAGGAGTCACAGACTCAAGACTTGCTGTCACCCACCAGGCCCACTAAGAATTCCCGGAAAATAAAAATAGAACCTGGGTAATAAAATGAACTCTCTCTAACCCTTTTTCTTTTCCTTTGGTCTCTTATCTAGTTTCACTTGCTTACAGGGCACCTCAGCACCGGTGATTTCAGTTCCTCATGTGAAACATCTGTGCCTGCTTCACCTCAGCTCAGGGGCCGTGTGCAGCGAGGCTGCACCCGACACCTAGCTGGGGGACAGTCCGTGTGCAGAGACCTTGCGCTGGCCACTGCATGCTGGCACGTGAGCGGCACAGCCAGAGAATTCGCCCCACCCCCCGCCGCACGCACGCACGCAGGCGCACTGGCGATGACTCGAAAGCAACCCCGCCTACTGCCTGCAGGGAGACCTCGTGCTTTAGAGAGAGAGAGCTCCAACTTGGCCATTATTTGATCAAAGATTTGCTTTGCTTCTGAACTGAACGTGAACTCATTCTGTTGTCTTGATGGAAATGGGAAGACACTTGTTGGGGACTGACTTGGGAGGGTTGGGTAACGTAGGGAAGTCAAGGCTGCCCATTCTAGGCCTGCTTCCCTGTCACTGCTCCAGGGTTGTCTGACCTCCCTGGGAGCATCCTCTGCCTAGAGCCAGCCCCGAGTTCACCTGCTGGTGGGATGCAGGGCTCTTCCAGGACGCAATAGTCACATCAAGATGCTAATGCCCTCCTCCAGCTGTGGGTGCTGACACTCTGCAAAGCTTTCTTCTCCAACAGCACAGAGACCTCACAGCGCCTTTGTGTCCCAAGCTCGCTGCACGCAAATCTGCTCCACTGCTGGACCAGACCAGGAGAGCCGCCATGCTAACTGCAGGGAGAAACAGGAGAGGTCTCAGTAGTGGCTGCCATAGACTGTCTTGCCTCGCCTTTCAAATAAGCGATCCTGGGAGGATTTCTTCAAGAACCCTGAGGTGGTAGATGGCTAAAGATGAATGGCAGCAGCCACTGCCTCCCCAACAGAAATTTCTGAACAGACACCTTCAAGCCCTGACTGTCATCTGCCTATGAGGCTTGGCAGCAAGGCTGGTGTCTCAGAGAAATTTAAGAACACTGGTCTCACCTGGCAGACTCAGAGCCCAGGCTTGTTATGATTCTTCTTTTCTATCATAAATATCACATGTACCCAATGTAGAAAATTTAGAATATATATAAAACAAACTTTGCCAAATGCCACAACTCAATAAGAACTTCTAACATTTTGATGTTTTCTTCCAGACAGGACTTTTTTTTTTTTACAGTTGTAATGGTACTATTTATATATATAACATTACATCAGAATTTCCCCATATTTCATTACATCATGAAATTTTCAAAATTTTTTCATAATGGCTAGATCATTATATCATGTAATATTATAATGTACTTAACCACTCCCCTATCAGTGGGTATTTGCATTTTCATTTTTATTATAATTAATTCTGTAATAAAATATCTTTGTGCATTCATCTTCATCACATTTCAAATTATTTCCTTAGGAGAATTTCTATTTCTAGATACAGAATGAGTGGGTTAAATATTGTGCTTTTCAGTTCTTGATATATACTATCTGATTGCTCCTGGGAAGATAAAAACACTTTGCAGTCCTACAACAAGCATATGAGCTCCCTGTCTTATCAAATTCTTGCCAGAGGATTTTTCCTTTTTAATTCTTTACTAATTTAACAGACAAAAAGAAACTAACGGCTTCTTGTTTTACCATGCATTTCTCTATTGCTCAATTTTTTACATGCCTTTAGCCATTTGTTTTGCATCTTTTGTGAACATTCTGATCATGTCCTTTGCTCTTTTATCTTTTGCTTTTTTTTCTTTTGCTAAGTTCTATAATTAAAATATTCTCACTTCACTTCCATTCCAAGTTCATTATAACTAATTTTTCTTCACTGAAAGAACAATACATCACATTATCTTAGGTGTCGGTGTAAAAAAAATGATTTCTCTGTCATTTTATTCCTGTGTAATTAGAATATAAAAACTTTTCTTTATGGAATGCAACCTGACACTCTAACTTGTTTAGGAAAATATATAATGGGTTACACTTATATTAAATTGCCTTGTGTTCATTACTGTTTTAGAATGTTTTACTTCATGAATTTTAATCTGGTAGACTAGATATCATTTTGGTTTAAAGTACAAGATCATGGAGTTTTTTGGAGATATTAAAATAAAAGCAGAAAACATGGTCAGTTGACTATGTCTCTGCATTAGTCTCCAGACACAAACTATACCCGAAATAACCTCGGACAAGACATTAAAGTTAAGGGCTTCCCTGGTAGCTCTGACAGTAGAGAATCTGCCTGAAATGCAGGAGATCCAGGTTCAATCCCTGGGTTGGGAAAATCCCCTGGAGACGGGAATGGGCTACTCACTCAGTATTTACACCTGAAATGAGCTGAGACATGATAAAGTTAACTAAGGTTTAAAAAACAAAAATGACAATTTTCATAAAATAAATATTTACAAAAAGATGACCCAAATAAAATCTCTCCTCCTCCAGGCAGCTTTCTCAGAATCACGTAGGCAGAATTCCTTTCTCCCTCCCCAGCCCACAACATTGTATATGCCTCAGTGACATTAGTCATCAAGATCTACCTTGAATAGGTGATATATGAACATCTCTTTCCATCAAGGTGATTGATTACTGGAAAGAAGGAACAATATTTTGTTTATCTATGTGTCCATTTGTGATCCCAATACAGTGTTTTGAGTATAGTACATGCTCAGTAGACAGACTGAATTGAATTAAACTCTAAAATTTTGAGAAGAGGACTATGTGGAGTAGTGGAATCCATATAGATTTTTGAGTTAGATTAAGTGAGCTTGGAATCCAGCTGTGACACCAGCTAGGAGACCCGAAACAAGTTAACTTAGCCTCCTGAATGCTGTGTCATCTCTACGGGAATAACAACGCCTACCATGGTAGGCCCTCCAGGTTGGCTAACCCAACACCCATTTTCAACCAGTTTCATACTTGTCTTCCTTGACTATAATGACTGGTAAAGCTAAATCCTCAATTTCCCAGCCTCCAGACCTTTGCACAAATTATGCTGCCTTTGCAGAGAACTCTTCACTCTTATTCACATTTCAAGGCCTAACTTGAATAGCATATCCACTGAGAAATGTCCCCCAGTTATTCAGGACCACATGAGTTACTCCCACCTCTATACTCCAGAACTTTGCAGTTGTTTCTGTTGCAGCATGTATTACTATGTTTGTTACAGTTGTGGGCTCAACTTCCTTTCTCTCCAAGCAGACTATTAATTCCTCAAGTAGTATTTGTAAGTACCTGCTCCAAGTAATCTGCAGATCTTGAGTACATATAGGCTTTATGAATGAATGAGTAGATGGATGGACTACCTTAAAGTCCACAGGGTCTTGCCTCTATATATTTATTAAAGATGCTATGAATTAGTATCAGATCTATTACCATTGCAACTACCAAGGTCCTACCCAGCCTAGGGATCAAAATCAGGATGCCAAGGAAACTCCTACAGCCCCCAGTTATATTTTGCTTAAAGGGAGGAAAATAAATTTTATATTTAATGGCTAACAAAATGGAACCAAGCAATTCTAGTTTTAATATAACACTGTAACACCAATATTTTACATACTTGTATTTATATATGTGTCAGTATTTCATGTACATGAAAGTAGTAGGGGTTCCCTTATCCATAGTTACTTACAAGCTGGCTTCTTAGAAAACGAATCAGTCCCCCACATATAGCCACAATAACCAGTCACTGCTGGGCACTTAAAGTAATCAATTTCAGTCACCCACAGGACATGGGCCCCACCCTCACCAACTGCACCAGGGGAGGGACAAAACTTCCCCAACCATGAACACTGGTGAGTTATAGTTTAAGGTCACCATATCATACCAGCTGCAACCCTCCAGGATTGGACCCCAGCCCCAGTTCTGCCAAGGGAAGAACTAGTGCTTCTCCAGTTATAACCCCTGGGCTGGCAGGATAAAGATGAAGTCAAGGTCCTGCCAGGAAATTTTGCTATTGAATCGCAGCCCTGAACATGCTAACGGAGGGGCTGGTGATTCCTATTCATGTAACTGAAAAGCCCTACCATCTCAGCACTTGGGTCCCCTCTGAGAGACGAGAGACAGATTCTCAGCCCTGCTAAATAGAATTACGTTGCCCTGGAATGCCATGAGCCATGGAGGACCAAGCAACTACTACAGCACCTTGTTTGCCCACCAAAATATTTTAACAATTTATTGTTTATTTAGTGAGGAGGAAAATTGAGTTTGGTTGGTTGGTTGCTCTCTCTGCTTTGGTGAAAGAAGTTCCAGGAACACTGAGGAATTGGTAGCGACCCCTCCCCCCACAGAAGTAGAGCGCTATTGCATAGGAACCTGGAGTGTTAGGTCTATGAATCAAGGCAAATTGGAAGTGGTCAAACAGGAGGTGGCAAGAGTGAATGTCGACATTCTAGGAATCAGCAAACTAAAACGGACTGGAATGGGTGAATTTAACTCAGATGACCATTATATCTACTACTGTGGGCAGGAATCCCTTAGAAGAAATGGAGTAGCCATCATAGTCAACAAACGAGTCTGAAATGCAGTACTTGGATGCAATCTCAAAAACGACAGAATGATCTCTGTTCATTTCCAAGGCAAACT